TCAATAAGACACATGAGTTCTCTATTTCTGAAGTCTGTTTTATTTTTAGTTCAAGTCTTTATTTTTTCCATCCATTGTGGGCGAGGCCTTCTGACCGCATCATTGCTATTCAAATCCAAACGAACGCACTGCCCTTAGCGTGCCTTGGGTTTTTGTAAGCTTACCTTGCGTGTGTGAGTAGGGAAGTGTCGTGTGCATTTGCGTATACACACTTTATGTGCCTAGTCATATGAGGAAAAAGGGTGAGGTGGGTTTTTAGTTTAAGTTCATTAGCATGTGTGTGTGACATCCACAAATTGCGATCGCGATCAATGGGTGTGTTGATCCATTCCACAGATGGGGGGTGCAGGCCTCAGAAGAGACTGCCTCATTGTATGTACCGATGTGTCCAACACATACTGACTCTGCTGGCCGTGCAGATGGACCACCTTTGACCTCCCACACCAACCTCCCTGAGGGGGTAAAGGTTACTGGAGTCAGGCTAGCTAACCGTCACATGTTTCATCCCAAGCTACCATGAACAAGATATATATGTTATCAAACTATAGCAGTGTTTTTCCAGCTCTGCCCGGATCTCGTTGAGAAAATGTCCTTCATACACATTCTTGAAGGGAAGCTCATTATGTTAAACCGCCTCTGACAACACAACTGTCAAAGCTTTTGCCTTCCAGTGTCTCAAATAGAGAGGATGTGTGCATCTTTAGCCCCCCCACCCCCACTCCTTGGCTACCATTGATTTATTTTGTATGTGACACACCTGGGAACTGGTGAGACATTTTCTAGGAACAGAGCAGCGCCACAGCTCTATCTTTCCTGCTGCTTAATATTTAATACCCGGCACTGCTGAGATGCCTCAAGAAGGAATGACAATCAAAGGATGGTTATTTTTAAGTCTTGATGTGGTGTGGAGATTTTTTATTTTAAAACCAACACTCACACACACCATTTCTGCCAAAAGCTGTAAGGAAAAAGCTTTTTGAATGTCTCTGTGGGTAATGTTGTGATTTAAGCTTGAATCCAAAGATCAGCCAATCATGTGTCATGGAGGGGAAATTATTTATTTAGCGATAAGTCTCATAAAAAATACACCAAAGCATATCGGCATCTGAGAATGTTCACCTGTGTGAGTTAAAAATAGGTCTACCCTCTGTACTGCTACACAAGATAAAGAGCGAAGTAGAGTCATGAATAAATAATTGTGTCCAATTGAGGTGAAAAAATTGTATGCACTGTGTTCAGACTACAGGACAAAGCAGAGCCTCCTGCAGGGTCAGAGTTAAAGTCAGGACTGATATCTTCAGGCCTGCTTAGGCAGCTGTAGCTCTGACCTGCAACCTCTGTCATGTTCGATGCTTCTACGATAAATGAACTAAGAATAAAAACTTGTTCTACTCTTGTACTCATTTCAATACAAACCTATTGATTAGCATTTGTTCTGTGATTTTATTAAGAATCTACACCAAGAAGTTATGTCTGTAGCCGAATTGTAATTGTTCTCTGTGCCATAGACTTCGGTTATCGTCTAAAAATGATTTAAAGCACAAAATTAGGCCTTAACGTTGCACTGTGACAAGCTCCTTTGATGTTTTAATCGTAATGCTGTACGTTTTTTAGAAGTGATCCAACAAACACTGTGCTAATGCTATAGAAACCCAATAATACTTCACATGTGTATTCATCCACTAACTGAAATATTCCCCAATCAATGCACTATCCATCTCTTTAAAGAAGAAGATGAATTGTATTAATCCCCTAGGGCAAATCGAGTTTGAGTAACATTGCTAAAAGTTACAAAGCCCCACTGTTTAAAAAATAATAATTCAAGCCTTTGATTTAAAGTAAAAGTATATAATTGTGGTGTGTTTTTAAAAATGGAAGTCTTAAGGGGAGGAGCAAATGAACTACAGACAAACAGGAAGAGAAGTCAGAGAATATTTAGGGAATTATTAACATTATTACAATATTATGGTGTTTTCATGGGATCTGTTGACAAAATAAAAAGGAACATCTCCAGCGTTATCCTTTAAAAACACTAAATACATATATGCAAAAATAAAATGATTAAGATATGTAACTTGCATGTTTACAATGTTTACATGTTAGCTAAATGGTTTAAAACCTAAAAGGGTCTGAATGGAAACAGCCTTAAAAAAGGGAAAACAGCTTGTTGGACTGTTAGCCATTCTGCAGTGACTGGGGACTGGGAAGTATGCATTGCTTTGTTTTATGGGGGTCGCAGGCCATAAAGACACACAATGCTGGCTGTCAGCAGCTTCACTGCAAAAGTATTTGGTAGTTAGAAGTTTACTTTTCGCGTTTCACATCTTTGTAGTCTTGGGGTTTTCTGCTTCATTTGAAATATCTGTATGTTGAGCCAAAAACCGGTAAAAAAACCAATGGGTAAGTTTATAAATCAGTTGCAGGCACGCGGTATATGCATACGCCTGCTAAGCCAACAGAAAGGCACAGTGCCAGGTGTCAGAGTCAGAGAGTGCACTACACTGATTCACTGTCTTTAACACTATTGATACAGGATTGTTTCTATCCATTCACACATTGTGACATAGTCAAACTTCTGCCATGAATGGTCGAATATGGACAAGTGTATGCAAAACAAACAAAAAAAACTGATATAGCCTGCAGGAAACTTGTGTTTATCGCTGTGTTATCCAGCTGTTATGATGCTAATGGCTTGTCCAAAGCCAAGCCTTTTCTAAAGCAAACAAGTTTGCTCCTTCATGTGACTCATGCGCAGTGGTTTGACTGTGAGCGCTACTATTTTGACAGAGCAGAAGTGCAAAACAGAGGTGACCATGGAAACTGACGGCATCCAATGGGAGAATAGGATATGGGTGTGGCTGACTGATTGACAAGTCGCTCACTGCCTGGTCAATTAATAACTTTTTCTGCCGTCACAGAGAAGAACAAATTATTCACTGGAAGTTTCTAAAAGATAAAACAGTCACATGATGTAGAAGAACAACACCTGCAGGATCTATGAATAGGAACTGAGACCAGACAAGTTAAACCATCTCACTTGCAATGGTTATTTAGTTAGTTGTTTACCTTTAGTTTTACACTGGTCTAAATGTAAATGATTGATTTGATGTCCATAATGTGTGTTTTAAAGTCAGGTATATCTGAGCTCTGAGTCAATAATAATATGCTTTCTATTCACGTCTTAACTGTGGTTGATTTGAAACAGGGGCTTACATTCTTTTGCTCAATAGAAGTAGCTCCAAGTGACCTTTTGCTACTTTATAAAGCATGTTACAGGGTGCTGAAAAAAAATACTTCTCATAAGTAGGTAATTAATATCCCTGGATAAACCTCAAATATGTTATTACCTCAATAAGAGAAATAACGCAGGATTTCAGATTTAGGAGATGAACACCATTTGTATAGCCAGAGTTTACAGCGTGTCTTTGTGTTCTGTGAATTTACCGTTGGTGTACATTGAAAGAATAAAGGCAAGAAAGATCATAAAACAGTCATGTGCTTACGTCATTATGGTTTCCAGGGAGCAAACACAAACATACACTGTTGATACACACAGTGCATGATCGCCTGATATTTTCATGCTTGTCTTTAAAAGAGTCTTTCACGGGTTTGATTTCACCGCTTGGATAACTGAGAAACTGCACCCTAACCTTCTGTAGTCAAAACAACTGAAACAAACACATTTTGTTTATGAAAGCATCCCCATTAATAACTTTGGTTTTGTTTATTAATTTGTATATTTCTTTAATACATGAAAGTTTTATGTGTTTACCACTTGTTTAATGTCTCACTGTAGTTACTGTATGATATGATTTATTTTTGTTGTTTTTTTAACTCACAAAATGTCTATCAATGATGATATGGCAAAAAAGTATTGTATTTTGATTGAGGCAAAACAACTAACAATAAGCACAACACCATTTATATTTTCATAAGAAGAATTTTCCAAATATTCTTCAATTTGGTGACTTGTAGTTGTAATTTAGTATTGATAAGGTTTTAACATCTTGAGAATATATCTGACTTGTGGAAACCTGAATAAAACCATACAACATCGACGCTGCTTTATTGCATGGACACAGCCTGGACTGAAATTATGCTCAGAATGTAAACGTACACACATATATGGAAATATAGCTTCTCCCCTTAACATAGCACGACGGGCAACTCCTGGAGTCTCCCGTTGGACTGTTCTTTAAGGACTATTAAAATGCTGGTTTAGATTCATACTTTTTATTTACTTACATTTTCTCTTTATTTCCTTCCTGCCAAAAGTGTTACTGCTGTTACAGCATATTAATCCAGAGATATTTAACCATGTATATTGGAGATCCAAAATTGCCCCCTAGCATAATGAGAGTGTGCGATTGCTACTGAATGTTTCACCCTATTGTGACCTAGTAACCTTTTAAAGGTTTTTGCCTGTCTCTCCGTGGATGATAAGAGACCCAAATGACTGCTGAAAACTCAAAAGAAAAAAAAACGACTACTCATTATATGGATTTTGGTAAATCTGCTGAGTATGTTTATGTTTTTATCTATCTGCCCAGCTGATTAAAGTGGAGTGGTTATCTTAAATCAAGAGCTAAATAAAACTGCGGATATGAAGATATTGATCCGGGAGTTAGAGCTTGAGAAAAAAAGAGGTAAGAAGTTAATGGGGCTTTATAAGGTAAACACGAATGTGAATTGTTTTCTTTATTTTACATTGTAATGTTATTTATTTCACCACTTTGCTTTGCAAATTACATTTCAGAGATCTACACCAAAAACCACGACAAAATGTTGCTAAGCACATTCAAACTGAGTAAATGTGATTTTAGACTCCCTTAATATCGTAAGTATTAGTCATACACAAATCAGAAGAATAGTAAGCTGAAACTGATGAGGAGAGAAAAAATAGTCCGTCTTGTTTTTTGCCACGGTATATTCATCCGCCGCGCAGTTTATTATGCAATAAGGCAGCAGGGCGAACAACGACCTGGGCGGAGTGATTTTAGTGAGGACTACACCCAAGCGCCTGTCCGAATGCAGCGGCTTCTCTTCGTTTCCTAGACCAGAAGAAAGCCGGGACGTGACGGAGCCGGGGGGGTTCTGCTTGCTGGAGGCCCGATAAATACAGCTTATTCACTGCTTCTTCGTCGCTCAAGAGACCTTTGTGATCTAACTTGACCCTTCGTCTTTTTCCGTCCTAAAACTAATTTCACAAACATGTCCTGGCAAAGCTACGTGGACAACCTGATGGCTGATGGCAGCTGCCAGGACACGGCCATTGTTGGGTACACGGACGCCAAATACGTCTGGGCATCTTCTGTCGGCGGTACATTTGCCAACATAACGGTTAGTGCGCTCTGTGTGTCAGTATCTATGATTACATGGGAGGAACAGTGATCTTGCATGCCGGTGGGTTTCCCTGCATAGCCAGGCCTTGATGAATGAGGATAAGGCGAGCGGTGTGTGGTACACATGGTATCCGGTGGTCACAATCAAGATGCATTGGCACGTACGAACCGTTGCTTCAACCCACAAGCAGTGTGGTACGGTTTTCATCACCTTCAGTTAACGTTACATTTATTTGTAGGTAATGTTTTTAGAAATTGCCACCAGACCAGTCGGGGAAACCAAAGCCAGTGACAAACGGTACCGCGAACTCAAGCTAAAGAGACTAGCGCCAGCTAACGCTAGCTTTTACCAGCCGCGTCTGTCTTTGATACCGGTCAGACAGGACGAAGGAGGCGGAGAAAGCATAGCCGATTTCAATTATTTATTTTTAACCCACTCTTCTTTTTATAAACCATTACTTTTGGATTTTGTTATTAGTTCATTTAATTTTTAGCATACAACACAATGTAACGGTAACATTGGTTAGCAGACTACAACTCGCGGTTAGCTCAAATCAGGCCGGTCATCCCCGTTGGAAAATCATTATCAGCTAACGCTAATAGCGCAACTAGAGCGGTGCTCGCATGCGTACTTTCTCGCTTGCGTTCCGTTGGTCTTTCTCTTTTTTTCCTGCTCTGTTTCTGTGAATCGCACTGCTGCTACCGCCCCTTATTTTCCAAGATGGCGGATACACTCCTAGTTTCTTATTCATTTTGTTCATGGAAGCCAATCGAGCTGTTTAGTCTCCGTTAACGATTACATAAGCCGTCCACCCTTTGTCTTTCTTTACTTTTTTAACTACGCACATACACCTGAGTTGATGGTAGCATTTACTTGAATATAACTTTGCTAAACAGTCTTCGCCGGCGCTTCGTTGAGCCTCCATTTTGTCTGTTAAATAAATTATAAGGCGATAATTAAAAAATACTAGTGTGAAGTTGATTAGCTGTAATTTGAATCGGACACACGTTCGTTTTTAGGAGAATGTTGGGTATAAAATGGCAGCCCATGCTTCAGACAAGTGCACTATGAACGAGTTGTTAACGGGAGTGTCCGCTCGGGCAACCGGCTCAGACTAACGTTATCCTTGGACGCATTCAATTAAATTACATATTTCTGTCCTTCTGGAAGTCTCATGTGAAGCCAGAGCTAATTGCCATCTTACCAGCTTGCTCTCGACCTTAGCTAGCCTGTTTTTGCCTATACCCGTTGATTAAATTAGCTAAACCAAATTCGCTGTATGAAGCAGAATCTGTGAAACGGCAGTGCTAGTTTACACAGCGTGGGCTCTCGATGGGGAGAAAGCCGGTGACTAATGCATCCTTTGACCGGGCCTTAACGTGCAGCTAGCCGCCATGCTAACTGTGTCTGAGTCAGTAGAAATCCTTTGAGTTTCCAGTTCTGTCCTGAAGTGTTTCGCGTTTCATGACTGCGCAGTTTTTGAGTTAAGGGGCGACGCCTTTTGTTCTGCAGATTGGTTCAAAGACCATTTAGGGTAATCTGTACCATGTGAGTGTAGTGAAATGCACTTTTTCACATAATCAGGAGCACTCTTTTACAGAATATGTTTTGCCATTGTTTTGGTCAGCTGCAGTGGGCCGTAGATATTTCAGGGCTTGTCGGCTATTGGAGTCACTATTGTCTTTAACAGTGTATTGCTCGATATCATTTCGAAAGACTTGATTTACATATACTGTCCCCAAAGTGTAAAAGAAAAAAAACTTTTAACAAATCGACAGACTTTTGTTTTGTTTATTAGGATGTCTTTAAAAACAAGAACTTTATTTTTGTACCAGTTTGGTCAAGTAATAGATCATACTTAAGCTGTCCATTGCATCATTTTACACTGTCTAGTAACAATACAATAAGCCTCTTTTCTATGGAAGTGTTTGTGTGACCATAAATGAGAACCAGAATTGGATGCAACTAGTACAAAGAGTGAAAGGCCTTAAAGTAACACATCTCTCACTAGAGTCTGAAGCATTATTTTATTCTGCTGGGATGTAAGATTCCAGTGATAACCTCGGATACCCAAGAGCTCAGGTCATAGTATTCTATAGATCATCTCAGGTAAAGGGCAAATATATTTGTAGACTTGCACCCCATGTCATCTGGAATTAAACCCCATATTCAATCCCTAAAGTGCCAATTTTCTAAATCTCTAACCCAACACTTGGGTCTTACGATTTGCATGGTACAGGAGACCTTTGACAGTGTGTAACCTTTGAATGTCTTTTGAGGCCACACTGGAGAGAGGCAGGTCATTTTATGCTGTGGGATTTAATAAAAGGAACTAGCTTCTGGACTGTCCATATTTCCACGGTTTACATTAGTTGAATTAAACAGTGTTTTAGTCCTTCTTTTGATCAACAGATGTTGAATCCTTCAAAAACATTAGTACCAGTTTACAACAATGTATGATATATTTATGATAGATATTTTGAAAGGGTTTTTATTTGAAAATTAGTTGTTCATATATGTTCTTGTTGCTTCATAAATTATGCAACATCTCAGGAGTGTGTCCAGAACCTTTAATAGCTCTGTAAGGTATTGCTTGCTGAGGAAAAAACGTTTTTCCTATCGGCTCTTCATTTTCTCTTCATTTGAAAGACCTGTTTCTCAAAAGGCTTCACAGCACCCACACGTTAGTGGAATTAATCTGAATTGTATTCAAAGAGCATTAGAGGAACGCCTACAAAAGGCCGAACGTAAAATAATTAGCAGTCTCTGACAGAATTAATCAACATTTTGCATTTTTAAAATGGATGTACTTAATTTCTTGCTTTTGTGTTTGCCTCTAGCCTGAAGAAATTGACGTGATAACAGGGAAGGACCGTGAGGCATTCTTCTGCGGTGGGATGACCTTAGGCAATAAGAAGTGCTCCGTAATCAGAGACAGCCTCCCTGTTGACGGCGACTGGACAATGGACATCCGGACAAAGAGTTCAGGAGGAGAGCCAACATACAACATTTCTGTAGGCAGAGCCGGCAAAGGTGAGCACCTCGTTCAGTGTCAGTCAGAAAGCTTTCAGTAGTGCTACAGTGACAGCAGAGCCTGAATGATAGTGCCGTTAGTTTAGCTACAGTTACAGACCTTTGTGTTTGTGCATGTGGGATAGACCTTGAACGCACCTTTCCTCAATATATGATGAACACAGGTGTTTAGGTATCTGTTATTATTGAATGTAGTTTGATTATGATGGGGAACAACTGCATCTCAGCTAAATGTAGTCTTGATAAGTAACGGGTTAGTAAGGGGCAAGTTCATATAAAGAGGTCGGGTAAAAAGAAATGCCCTTAAAATATGAGTTATTAGTCCTCTATGCCATTACTTCAATCAGATACAGCTATCAGTTGAATTAAAATGAGCATGATATGTTTTGATACCATCGGTAATAAAGTCTAGACATCTTACAGATCATCCTAAATAATTGATAACGTGTTTTTCCCAGTTTCTTATCGTTTATATCTGTCTTAAATATTGGTTGTCTTGAGGGATTTCCTTGCTCCTGGCGTATATATCCCAATTCTGATAACTAATATAAACCACTGAAATAAAATGTATTATAACAGGTCAGAACTCACTCATTGATCTCTATTTAAATGAAGATTTATTTAAAGTTAATCGAATAAATAACCCAATTTATGAACTTGACTTTTATGAAAATTCTGATTTGCTACATAAATTATTGTAAATCCTTTAATTAATAAAAAGTATATGCCTCCAGATTTATTTTTAGAATGACTGACTTTAAAAGGCCTACACCTAACTAACTGTAAAAAAAAAATGAATGTGATATGCCTGAGAGTTGTGCCAGCTATCAGGCTGCCTGTATGGGCCCAGATGCCCTGTCCTCCCCACTTTACCCAGAAACGACTAAACCTTAGAGGTAAGACTAACTGGTTCCTGTTCTCCTCTCACCAGGCTCACTCTTTGGGCTGGGATTTCCTTAAAACTTTCTAAACTGCATGCACCTTTCTCTTTCCTGGTTAACACACCCTACCCTAAAAAATTTGAATCTGTTCCCCTGGTCACTCGCTTCCACTACGGCCAGTAAAAGACTTACATTACAGGGCTCTTACATGTATTGAGGAGAGGTACCACACGCATGCTGCTGGTTCTGCATGTGTGCCGCATTAGTCATGGGCCGTATCCAGTCGAAGCTTAACTTTCCTAGTCTCTGCTGCTGGCATGGTGTGTAATGATTACAGAGGAAACCAGGAGGAATTCTTAGCTCCTTGGATTTGTACCTCATCCGAACACCTGGTCGCTTATCGAAAATTAGTAGAAAAGCTGATTTGGCATTTATGTGGTACCTTTGGACTTGTTGCAAAGAAATGTTGGTACCACTTTACAATAAGACTACCCTCAAAGGGTTTATAATTAGGTTATTAATTGGGTTGTAAACACTTTATTAATCATTAAGAACCAGTTCTAACATAGTTTTCATACATCAACACAGGCTCACTATTTGGCAAGAGGACTAAGCCTTATATTCGCTACTTAGCGAGAATCAACTCAGTGAGCAAGAGATACCAAGGATGCTGGCTGATGAAGAAGACGAAGTAAGCTAAATAGCCATAAGGCTTAGCAGTACAGATAAATGTGGGCTCACTATTTGGTAGGGGTGTAACGGTTCAGACATTTCGGTTCGGTGCGTACCTCGGTTTTTAGATCACGGTTCGGTACGTTTTCGGGAGAGCAGAAAAAATGATCACAAAACATAAAATATATATATATTTTTTTTAATTATTATTAAACTGTGAATAATGTATTCATTCAAATACAAAATATAAAAAATATACATTTAAGGTGCAGCATTTCGATGAACTGAAATAATCTGTATTTGAACTTTACTGCACTAGTAGTCAGAGTTCCCGTTAGCCGGTAATTACCGGACTATGACCGGTAAAATATGCTGAAGACCGGCAAATCTAAATCTCTCCGGTCAAAGTGTCCGGTCAAAATAATTTCCCCTTAGCGCAATACCGCATGAGTTGCGCCACTTATGTGAGAGACAAGAATATTATGTGACAGACAAAAATAGTCAATTCTAATGTCTAACACGTAATGTGGAGAAAGAGATGTCCTGTATGGGTTGATTGTGCATTGATTTGTTGGTAATGCCTAGGGGTTCCGGTGGGCATGTAACAAATGCATAGCGCTATACTTTGTGGCCTCACCCGGTTGCATAGCAACACTTATTGTTTAGGTGTCTTTTAATAAGAAGGTAGTCACACGCGTTCACAACATTTCGGTTCGGTAGTTCCTCGGATTTTAGGTCACAGTTCGGTTCAGTATGTTTTCGGTACAGCAGAAACAATTATCACAAAACATAAAATATTTTTAGTTTTTTTTAAAATTATTATTAAACTGTGAATAATGTATTCACTAAAATAAATACAAAATATAATAAAATAAACATTAAGGTGCAGCATTTCGATGAACTGTACTGTACTAGTACCTAAGCAGCCAGCTTGACATTATGACTTGCTTGTAATTGCATTTTCATGTTTTTTTTTAAAGAAAAATGAACTTGCTTGCTGAAAGGGCAGATCTGCTGGCACTAACAATGTTTCCTGCTGTGGAGAACACACTCGCTAGGGACAGAGGTAGCAGACTGCTACCTCTGTCCCTAGCGAGTGTGTTCTCCACAGCAGGAAACATTGTTAGTGCCAGCAGATCTGCCCTTTCAGCAAGCAAGTTCATTTTTCTTTAANCGGTTGTCCCCGGTCACGGGGGCATTGTGACTGGTCCCTGGTGGAGACACCGGGGGGAGGTTTTTTTTCCAATGTTATCATGCTAAATTAACCTTGTTTTAGTTTAGTCTCTTGGCCTACATGTCACTCTAATTTTGACAAGTAAATGGAATATATTTTCGTTTATCATGACAAATACAAAAAAATAATTTAACAGTGAATTTCAATGATTTTGTTTATGAGATTTAAATTTTTTTGATGTTTATGGTTAGGGGACATAAAATCAAATGAAATATGACAGAAACAGAAAAATTGGGTGAAAATAACACGGGGAGTACTTTATTGACCGGGGGTCATTTTTAACCAGATCTTGGCGGTGACCAACGTCTTCGTATTTCTGTTGTTTTGTTTGTTCCGTAACGTGTATTCATCTATATTTCTCATTTTATTTTTGATCTTAAATTTGTAGAGTTTATGCTAAAATACGTCGTAATTTTTTCATTTTATATGGCATCTGGCACTTCTATTTTCCAGATATTTCGAGACTGTTATTTTTGTGATAACGTCCCATTGTCCAAGACAAATTTAACAACGTAAAGTTACGGCGGGACATCGGTTTCGGGGACTGCATACGAGACGTGGGGCAGACGGTTTGATAACTTTTTGTGTAATTACTCGTTTGTACCACCTCCAAAGAAGTAATATGACTCGTGACATGGTAAATCAAATTACCGGGTTTGGTAGGGATCCTGGAGTAAATTGAAACCCGAGTACGCGCCTGTACCAACTGTATTGTTTTGGATATACTTTCTTACTACCTTAGTTATAACAACCGTGACACAACTCAAAAGACCTACAGTGGTTTCCATTTGTCAACTAGATGTCGCGTCCTAAGTCTGAGTGGTACTCTTGTTCCGTCCTGAGCCTCGACAGGGAAGAAGTATAAGCAGGTCCGTCCTACCGGGTGTGTAGCATCAACAGGGGACACACTCTTTTTCAACATCTTTCTTAACATTTTCTTATGTTCTTTATTCCAAATATGTCTGAATTGTGGTAGTAATGTAATGTATGTAATATCGAACTTCACTTATTGACGTCGAATAGGAACTAACAAAACTCAAACTCAAGAATATATTCCTATAAACGGTGAAAAATGTTAGTCGATATATACCAAGTGATTTACTAACATTACATTACATTGATGACAATAATTTTGATAAGAACATATATGAAAATGTTATAGAAGAGATTGAAAATAGAGTGTTGTGCCCCTGGGGGGGTGTGGATATGCTATCCATGGCGTAGGACTGTGACCTGCTATTCTTCTTCCCCTGTTCGATGGTCTCAGGACGAAGACGAAGAGTACCACTCAGACTTAGGACGCGACATTAGTTGACAATGGAAACTACTGTGTTTGAGTTGTTGTCCGGTTGTTATAATAAGGTAGTAAGAAGTATATACAAAGAATAACATTGGCTAAGGGTACTCTGGTTCAATTACTCTCCAGACCTACCAAACCGTATTGATTTCTGTCACGAGCGTCATATTACCTTCTTTGGGAGGTAGGGTAACAACGAGTAAGATTACACAAAAGAGTTATCAGAAACGTCTGGCCACGTCTCTGTATGAAGTCGCAAACCGTATGTCTCCGTCGTAAACTTTACGTTGTCTAACTTTTCTTGGACAATGGGACTTATTCACAAAATACAGTCTCAAATATCTGGAAAAAGAAGTGCCAGATGACATATAAAAAAATGAAAAATTACGAGAAATTAGAAAAACTCTACAAATTTAGATGCAAAACCAAATAAAAATGAGAAAGTTATAGATGAATACAGTTACGGAACAAAAACAATAACAACAGTAAATACGAAGACGTTGGTCGACGCAAGATCTGGTTAACTGACCCCCGGTCAATAAAGTACTCCCCGTAGTTATTTCACCCAATTTTTCTGTTTCTTGTCATATTTTCATTTTGTATTTTATGTGCACTAACCATAACATGCAAAAAAATTAAATCTCATTACAAAAATCATTGAATTCACTGTTAAATTTTTTTTTGTATTTGTCATATAACGAAATATATTCCATTACTTGTAAATTAGAGGTGACATGTAGGCAAGGCTAACTTAAAACAAGGTTATTTACAGTGATAGACATTGGAAAAAAAGACCTCCCCCCGGTGTCCCCCCAGGGACCAGTCACAATTGCCCCCGTGACCCCCCCTCCCTAGAACCGCCCCTGGCTGCAACGCAAACATTTCCCAATTTGGGATCAATAAAGATCCTCTTATCTTATCTTTTTTGGGATTTGTTGACAATGAGAAGTTGTCTTTTAAGAACAACAAAACAACACAGGGTATTTTCAAGTGCTAACAGGTCGTTAACTCGCTTTATAGTTCTAATAAATGACTCTGTTCCGCTGACTGTTACTGTCGCCCGCAGCCTACCACAGCAAGTGTGTGGACCCCTGGCTGACCAAGACCAAGAAGACATGTCCGGTGTGTAAGCAGAAGGTGGTCCCATCGCAGGGGGACTCTGACTCGGACTCCGAGGAAGGGGAGAGCGGCCCCGATGAGAACGAGGAGGTGTCGGAGAGCACCCCCCTGCTGCGCTCCCTGGCCTCTACCAGCGCCCACTCCTTCGGCACCATGTCGGGGGCCTCTCGCTCCGAGCAGGACCCCGAGTCCTCCGACTATGAGGACGACGAGCTGGACAGCAGCGACAGTGACGACGAGGTCACCGTGGAAACCGTGGTGGTGCAGATGCAGCAGCCCTGCTCCGAAGACCACGAGCAGGACCTGCCCCAAGCTTGACTGATTGTTGGCACTAAACCCCCCCTCCCTTCACCCCACAACCTCTCAGCTGCAGAAACATTGGGTGGGGGGGGGGGTCACAAAACAGATTCATCTCTTTTCTGTCACTGCTTACAAGACATCGTATTGTCCTTGCAAAGTTTCAAATGCATATCTACGTTTTTTTTTTTACATGATTTCAGATAAAGTGCTGATGTGTGACAGGAAGTCGGCTGCGGCAGGTTGGTAATGTACAGTAGACTTTTATACTGTACTCTTTAGTCAAAGATGATAGACGGATGGAAAAGTCCCAGAATCATCACGCTTGTTCAGTAAAAGTACTATGTATATAAAAAGTATAAATCAAAATAAGTTGCATCTTGACCATCTTCGACATGTTTCAGATGGAGGTTCATTACTGTACATACATGCTACACTGACACTCCAACAACTGCTATGCAGCATCCTTTTTGTAAAATAAAAAACTACAGAAACATTTTAAGCCACAGCAATATGGTTTTGCCAATGTATCTCTAGCCTGATATGAGGGAGCCATGGTGCTCCTGTCTGTTTTGTGCCACGGTTAATCTGTTACGAATCACTCTGACAAACTGAAGCCAAACCAGTTTGAGAAACTCGTGGCTAAGAATGTCTCCATGTGACGTCACGTTGTGCAAAGACACTCGAGTGGAAACTCACGCTGCCTGTGGGGAACTTCTTCTGGCTGCTGCAGACCTATCACTCGTAACACGCGCCGTTATTGGTGGATAGTCCTGTGATACACATTTAACTGACCTTATCTCATTTGAATAGTTTATAGTAAATATGCTTTTTTTTCTTCCCCATAACATGATTCTTTGGTTTATAAACCCTGTTGCCTTTTTCAGTTGATGTATTGTTAGTGTTTTCCTGCTCATGTGTCTGTTCTTGATATGAATTCACTTCAATAAAATGAAAATGACACGGAAACTTTTCCTGGTGAATAATTTGTATTTCCTCAGTTTTCAGTGGAAACACGATTTTATACAGCTATTAATCAGACATCCATCCTTCCTAGATCCTGCTTTTGCTTCAGACGCCTGTTTTTGGAACCTTTCCGTCTCAATATGTACAGCTGCAGTGTTTAAGGACTTATATAGGCTCCACAGTAAACTTGGTCAGTGTAATGAGATGATTACAGGACACACATCAGCCTGTTTAAGTCCGACATGGCTCATTAGCAAGTAGAAATTATAGGACTTGTCAGAATACTCTTATTTCTCGATTATAAAGCAATTGAGGTTTGCCCGGGGAGGCCTGAGGGTTTGAAGCTCCCCCCCCCCCCCCACGTGTTTCTGGCTGAGGACTTTTGTTGTAATTTGCCATCTCTAGTTCACATTTTTAATTCAGTAGACATCCTGTTGCTTTAACATCTCTTCTCTGTGTAGGCTTCCAAGTTGTTATAAACCTTCAAATATTCAGTATCTGAATAAGCACTACCCATTAGTCTGACTCAAAGCAACGATAAATAGTGAAACTGAAAAATTGAGATTTCAGAAACAAATATTTGTGTTAAACTGAATGTGACATTCATCTTCTCTGACTCTTAACAGGTAACCAAATATGTGCATTTTCCAAAACATTAAACCATTCCTTCAATAAAAAGAGGCAGCATTTAGCATAATAAAAACACAGAAAAACATTTATCTGGTTGGAATAAATTTATTTGATCTGTCTGTAAACAAAGTGATAAATCAATTTATGGCATTTCTTGGTTTTATGCATATGAAATCAGATGCATTATAAGATACTATCCCAGATGTAAGAACAAAAAAAAAAAGTGTTGAGGAGAAAGGAAATGAACATAAATCAGCAAACAGGACTTGAAACAGTTTTTTTTTTTTATGAGTACACATATCTCACAAGGCCTAAACAGTGGAGCGGAAGCAAAAAAATAGAAAAAGTGCCAATGAATTGACTCTTTAGTGGACAGTGGGTAAAATCCATCTTACAACAGCAACAGATCTCTATATTATGGCACAGGATACACAGGTTCTGCAGTTCATTTTCAACAAGACAACCAGAAGCGTCTTCGTTCCAACCAATCCCATCTCCCGTTGAGTGTCATTTCTACTTTTAAAAGGTTTTTTATATCAGTTGGACGTTACAGTTAGCAGAAGTGAGCGCGGACAGACCGTGTGATACCCCAGAACTCAGCTGACTACAGAGTAAAGGCAATTTATTCCACAGTTTTGTAGTGTCAACACAGCATGGGTTTGTACAAATGCAGTTGTTTGTTTTCTAAACAAAAAAAGAAAAAAAAACAATGTAGTGAGAATTTTCTTCAGATATTCCCACCCTTACCTACCCTGTAGCTTCAGTTTTTTTTGTAACCATAGTACGCATTATTGTCTGGTTAGTGTTTCCTTCATCAAAAAGAGTTAGCAGTCATCCTTCACATGGTTTAGAGCAATTGTATAAACACCAGAGCTTCGACTACACTTGGTCCTATAAAAAGAAAAAGAAATTCAAACTGGACACGTTCCAGATGGTTGTATGCTGGGATAACTACTGTCCAAAAATGGCAGCCTTTCCAAAGATAAACAAAAGAAAATATATTACAGGAGCTGGCAAACAAAAACAGTATTAAGTGCCTGAGCCATTGTTACTGTGGAATGTCCTTGGGGTTTTCGTGTTGTGATGACGGGAGGAGAGGCTACCGGCATCTGGACGACAAACACTCTCAAATCCGGCTCATGGTCGTCAGCTGAGCCGTTCCGAGCACCCCCCCCATACACAAACCTCCCCCCCCCCTTTTATAAAATGTGTTCAGGACAGAGCAGTGGATCTGGAGACAGCGGGGTCGGAGGACTGGTTGGTTGCTGTGTAGTGTTAGATCAAGATGAGAGTTCTGTGAGGTTTGTAGTGTCGCCTGCTTTGAGAACAGGATGTGGAAACGGAGAGGGGGAGGTACTCAACATTTTTGGCAGGAGGGGGTGCGGAGAGCGGAGAGAAGCGACAGTTGACCGGCGTATGCATGCAGTCTCCCCTCCGGACATGGAGGAAATTAAACCGGAAGACGTGACGAGCTGGGTTACCGCTCAAGTGCTCTAAAAGGCATCGGCTGCTCGGGAGGGAGTGTGTATTGTCGGGTCGGGAGGGATTAAGAACCAGGACAGAGAAATCAAAAAGAAATTTCTACTTCAAATTCACGCTTTAGCTTTCATTGTCCGAGTGTTTGGCCAGGTTTTTTCTTTTGCTGATCTTTTGCTACAGATTTGTCAAGACATCCTGTAAGCAACATGCTCATCTTTGCTATGGATCAACTTATAGTGCTTAAGGGGTAAGAGTACACAGCACAAGTGTGTTAATGGGGGAGGGGCGGGGGATAACAAAATATGGGATAACAAATAAGGAGGAGAGAAGGCAGAAAAACAAAAGTAACCACCAACTAGGACTGGAAGAAGAGTGAAATGCAACAGGGTGGTAAGGGTGAGCTGCTAGGTGGCGGGGTGTAGGCTGCTTTAGTATCCGGACTTCCTCAGGTACTCAGCCATATGAAATGCTTTCTTGTTGAGCTGCCCTCCATGGACACCTTCCTTCCCCATGACAAAAACCAATGCTAGAGTACACAAAAGAAGAAGCAAAACAAAGGAAATGAACAGACGTGGTGATAGCAGGACTGGAAAATATACTTCTTTTATTGCCACCTTGCTAAATGTGGGCTACATTGTTGACAGAGCCTGAACCCTGTGCTATGTTAGAAATGCTCCTGGGATTTTGTTTTAAAATCGGACTGTTTGGGGAAACATGGGCTCGACAGTAATTATTTTATTTGTTTTTTACCTTTTCCTTTTTGTATGTTTTTTTTTAATCTCCTGCAACTAAGCCACATAACTACGTGAAAACTAAACTAAAAACCTGAATCCCTCAAGTATTTTGCCATGGAGAATGCCTTCTTATTCAATCCGCCTCCATGGACCCCTTCTTTGCCCTTTACCAAGACCAAGACTGAAAGAAAAGAGACAGAAGACATTTAGAGAAAGTGCGGAGAGCCCACACGTGAAAAGAGAAGAGCTAAAAAGCAGCAGGCAGACAGACGGCTACAGAGGAGGACAATGGCACAGAAACCAGAGCGGCGCTTTGGTCTGACGGCTTTATCGAGTCTAAACATTCATTTTCTTGTCAGTGCTGCTGGTGGTGAAGACATCACACATTACAATAGGGAAGTGAGCACAGCGGGAGATTAAAAGTAAAGGACGCATGCAAAGCTGTTCGTCAGTCTATCAGGCAGAGCTCAGAGCTGTAGTGACTGTTGTGTTCACTTTAAACTGTCATGACTTTCACTGAGAGTGAAGCAATGTTTGATAGGTAGTGGACTATTGCATTTTATTTATTAAACTTTTAAAAAAGGAGCACATTCTCCAAATCAAACTTTGGCCACAATTTACACTCAATCCAGACAATTTATTGATTTAATTTATTTACTAGAAATGGCAATCCATATTGTTGAATTTGGTCTGACATTTCAGTACCACTTTACATTAAGACTACCCTTATAAAGGGTTTACGAATAGTTTCCAATTAATTTATTAATAAGGTTGTGAACACTTTACAAAATCATTAATAAGCTTTTATAAGATATGAGATAAACAGGGCAACTGTGACCGGTTGCTTGCCAAATAGTAGGGGTGTAACATATTCGGTACGGCCCTTCGGTTCGGCACACGTGTGTACCGAACGAATATAACGTTAAACGTAAAAAATTGAGAACGTGAACGTTTTGGAAGTAATCTCAGGTGCTGCGCCGCAGCATTCAGAGTAATTTGCTCACATTGGGTTCAACGCTAGAGTGACCAAGTCATTTCATTGGACGAGAGGCATACTATGAGAGCTGGTCACAGGGATGCGTTCAAATTTAGTCAGTAATTTGAGGAACGGCGATAAAGTTGAGCTCGAAAATCCTCCAGCATCATTGAAGTCTCCGGTTTGGGAACATTTTGGTGGATGACGGCCAAAGACAGGTGGACCGAACCAAAGCTGTTTGTCGGCATTGTTCAACTAAAATTGTTTACGCGGCTGCGATACATCAAACTTGCACACTGATTTGAAAAGGCATCACTCGAACGTGAATATCACCGGTACCAAAAGAAAAAAGACTGAAGTGCAAACCCAACTCCCACTAGTATTTAAGCCTCCACCACTCGCAAAATGTTCAGACCGAGCCAAAGCTATTACAAACGCCAAATATCCTTATGTTGCCATGTTAGCAAAGCGCTACCTGGCAAGGCACAC